TTCTTTCTTTCTTTCAAACTGAAGTAATCCGCAATGTCTTCGCCCGGATTCGAACTCCATTCGCCCGGAACCGAATACATGTCGCATTCTACGAAGGTATGCGGGAAAAAAAGGAGTACCTTATATACTCCCCATTTTAAAGGCCGACTGGAGGTTAGGGGATCCAGTTGCCCAAATCCTGGTGGTGATGATTCATCTTCCACCACCTTTTTAGTTGGGGCGTCACATGTAGAGTCCTTTAGAATTTTTCGATGTCGGGAAACTGAAGAAATCCGCAATGGTATCGCCGGGTTTTGAACTCCGAACCTCCCGAATACGCGCTGAGTGGGCTTCCAGTTGCAGCAATAAGGCATGCGGAAAGGAAGGAGAAAATGCCTTATAGCCTATAATAAACGGGATGCTTTGCGAGCGGAAATCTGAAGTTATATAGGTAAGAGAAAATATAGAGTTATTAAAGTATAGCAAATTTCCTATAATTGGCAAACCTCAGATTTTTCATTAACAGTCTTTCATTTTAATATTTTACATAATTTATTTTTAAGGAAAAAGTAATCAGTCTATACTAAAATATTTTTAAGAAAACAGAAATTTCAAAGCTTAAGTCGCAAAAACTTAAAAATTTTCCTAGTTTCTTAAATGTGTTTATAGTTAAAATTTATATCAGCAATGATAATTGAAATCTGGGTTTGTTTCATTCAAATCCTTTTCATATTTCGAAGATGAAATTTGTAATTTTCATATATTCGTATAGACTTGAAAAGAGAACATACGAATGATTCTCATTTAAAGTCACTGATTCAATTAGAACAGGGTTCTTGTATAAAATGAATAGGACATTACAGAATTATTTCAAGTGATAGTGTAAAGAAATGACGCTTACAGATTATTTCCTTAAAGAGAACGCCTTCAATCCATGTAACTTTATTTAAAATATAATTGTGACCGAAATCTTATGTTTTAATTTCGAATAATCAAATTTAGATATAATCTTTTATGGTACTCCTATATATGTTTCATTATATTTTTACGATTGAATTTATGATAGCTAAAAACTCATTGAAAACCTTACAATGTTGTAACTATATAGGTCTTTACACGCCTTCTTAGCATGCTTTGTAGAGGTAATGGTCAGCACACGCGGGGCGCATTAGAGAGGTTTCGTGGTTCGGTCCCGTGAGGGCCATTGTTATTTTCACGCTCCGCTTTCAAAATGCCTAATGTCTCTACAACTCTTTTGAAAAAAAAATATTTAATCTGAATAACTGATTTTAAAATTGAATTGAGTTATTTTTAATTATGACTATTTGGTAAAATTCTTCACTCCTTACTTTGGACAAACAACCTTTGCGTGCTTTGCGGTAATTGATTAAAGAAACAAACGGCGATATAGGATTTATTACATTTTAACAGCTGTTGACACCTAACTTATCAAGTTTTCTTCAACGCGATTGATTTATTGCGAATCAGGCCCAAAATTAAAGGTATGTTGTTCGTATAAAATTAATTATTAGGTGAATTAAAAGGGCAATCTTCGTTCCGATACGTAATAAGCCAGAATAATGATGAAGATTTTATTCTGCTTATGATCTGTCTTAAATATTCAAAAAAGTATTATTTCGCTTCTTTGAAACCAAATTTGGAAATTTGAATAAGATCTGAACGTTTTTGTATACTTCCTCTTTATAAAATATATAAAGTACTGCCTAAAAACATCATTTTGAAAAATGTTCTCTATGATAATTCTGTGATAATTTTTTTTCATCACAGGAGAATTTGGGGGAAAATTTGGCACAGGAAATCCTAGCACCAGGCATTTTTAACATAGCATATGAAGTAATGCGTTGTGTACTATCACTTGATAAAGTCGATTAATAACCATTTAATACTAAGGCTGTTCGCACACATTTTAGATGACTTTCATTCTATTTACAGAAATATTTTACCGAAAATCTTTGCGGTTTAAACGTTTCATCTGATAACTCTTATTATTCGTTATCTTTCTATACCGTAATTTCCAAGACAGTAAAACTTTTTTTAACAACAGAAGAAGTATTTTACCCCACTCCTCTCAGCTTTCGAAAGTCCAAGTAGGGTTGTAGGTCGACGTTTGGACAATCCACTTTTTTCAAAAGCTCAAAAATCCGTGGATGATATATCAGGAGATTTAGTAGGATATGAGTGAAGGATATGCTCTTGATACACGTTTCTTGTTCCATTTTTTTCCAGGAAATTAAAAGTGGATTTTGACGTGCGGCTGATTGCTTTGTTTTGATGCAATTCTACTGATTGATGGCACTGTAGGTACACAGAAGGTATTTCACATTTAAAATTCGGGTATAAAATATGTTCCTGATAATATGTGCAGTTGATCTTAACAGCTTTCTGCACTCTCTTTAATTTTTATTTATTGTTATATCAAAAACCAGCAATGATCGTAAATCCCTTTGGAAAAAAACCTTTTTTAGATTCTTTGAAACATGTTCTAACATTTTCCCTACTCTTTGATGATAATAAACGCATTTATGTTTACTGCGTTCTTTTAAATATAATTGAGATTCATCTATTGTGACAACACTTCTCCATTTTTTCCGAATAATTGTTTCTCACAGATAATTCTGCAGCGTGTTCTGCTTTCAGCGATACATCGTGGAGAAATATGATGCACATTATGTTTTTTCACCTTTTTTAAGATTCAAATCAGCATTTGTTACTTTCTTTACAGTTGACACAGAGCATTTTAATGATTATGCAACTGTCCTTTCACTTGGAAGATTTTCTTTTAACAACATTCGAAACATTCATTTTTTTTTTCTTGGATATGTACTTTGAACAATTTTTCTCCTTCAAGCTAAACTTTGAAGTTTATTTCCTTTCTTATTAGCAATACTTTCTATTAGATATTCCTTTAGATACTGGAAAATTCATGGCTTTCACAGCATTTTTTTATAACTAAAAACTAATAGGTGTATTTAATTATGGCAAAGCACACTAAGGCTATCTGCCTAAGGGTTGGGATGCCTTCGTGGAGAACTTTCTAAGTTGTTGGAAACTGACTCGATACCCCGTTAACATGAGGGGGTTGGTTTGTTTTTTTGAGTGTGCACGGAAAAACACCATGACAGCCAGCCCGGTTGCAGGATTCGAACATCGGACCGAACTACCAGTGTTCAGCGACTTTAACGTTCGGCCGCTGGTGGGCTTAATACTGATGGGAAATAATTTTCTGTAGAAAGAACACAAACATACTCTTCCGTCCATTGATCCTTTAAAAATGCAATTTTGCAAGAAACCAAAATTATCAAGTACTATACGATAAATTACGTTTACAAAACTATAGCTGCAATTAATTATTTTTTTCCCAAGCAGGCGAGTTTTTTTTTATTGCAAAGCAATGTCGTCTGAAAAAGGAGTGAACAACCTTTGTAGCTTAGAAGTATATTTTGCAATAAATACTACATTTCACAAAATGGCTTTTAAAATAATTACTGTACAAATTTTAAAATAATTACTGTACAAATAAAAACAATAAATATCATACTTTTAAAACCTTTTTTTAAGACAGATGTTGTCATGAATAATACTTCCCACTCCATCTCTGAGCTACAGATTTTAAAAAGTAGTAGGAATGAAGAAAATATTTTTAGCATTTACCAAGAGGATGTTACAAAAAATTCACAACAATCTTAACAGAAGGGTAATTTAAAAATCAGAAGCTTCATTAATCACACATGAACAATTAAGTACGAGATAGAAGATTTGGAATTTTTGATCTAGAGAGTAAAGGTTTGCATAAAGGTATTACAAACAAATAAAAAGTAACAAATATTTGTATGCCAACTGCTTGTAAAACAAGCAACTTACTGATCAAAATAATACTTTTAAGTTCTGGATGACTGGCTTGAAATGGAAAACTCACTGATATTAACTATAAACTTAATCTATCCTTTTATTAATTGTGAAACATACATCAAAATATTCTGTGATTTAAACAAAAAATAATCTATCCTGCCAAATTCTGGTTTTAATAGTGTGAAAGTAGAGAATTTAATAATTAAGATGTGCTCAACAAATACTTCAAAAGGAAGCACTGAAGAAATATAGAGTGCAAAATAATCTTTCTCATTCTTTTTTTTCCTCCTTTCTATAGCAGAAACAGGTTTTTAATTAATTAGTTAAACATTCTACCTCGTTAAAGAGTCTTAAAGAAAATATCATTTTAACATTAGCAATGTAAGAACAACAGCTGTATACCACATTAAAAATAACTTAGTCAATGTCAATGCCTTTTGTCAAAAAAGCCATTTTGTCAAATGCTCTGTGTCAACATGCATTGACAGGTAGTTATTTGAAAGTTTATATAGAAAATAAATTTATTACTTCTTTATATTTTCTTTTTGACAATATTACCTATCGTTGCTTTAGATGCAGAAAACTATGACTTTCATAACCTTTTTTAATAACTAAATGCGAATAATTTTCTTCGGAAAGAGTACAAACATAGCCTTCCGTCCATAGCTTCTTTAAAAGCATAGCTCTCCGAAGCTTTCATTTTGCAAGGAAACGTTGTCAAATAGCAGACGATAATTTACTCTTTCAAAAATATAGTTGCAGTTAATTTTTCCTCCAAACACGAATTGTTTTTGATACCAAAGTAAATTTGTCTAAAAAATGGGTGAACAGCCTCTATAAGTGTTCGAAATAATAATATTAGTTAATAAATTGACTGTTTCTATGATTGACTTTTAATATTGATTAAAATAAAATAATAAACTGAATAGTCAATAAATAGTCAATCTGAATTATCAGTTTGAATAATTAACCATTTTAGTTTGAAAAATATACGAAATATAGCTCTTAAATAGTTGCTTACCGGGCAATAATAAATCATTTTTTTCAGAATTTTTGCAAAATATTCAATTGCTATGTTATACATAATTGAAATTTCTTTCTTTATATTTTTAATTAAAAACTTTTATTACAAATCATAGATATATGCTTACCTTCCATCGATGTGAGAGCTAAAAGTGGATCGACCATGGTTCCAGGTCTAAGGCGCTGAACTTCTACACTTGCCGTGTTATTCAAAGCAGGCCCGTTGTTCAAGGCAGTCCTGAATGTAGGAGTCAGAGTTTCATGTCTTTCATCAGAGCCATTACCCATTTGCGAACTATCTGGTACTGGACTTGTTGTCGAAGACGAAGATAATAAGGATCTCGTAGTTCCTGATTTCGTAGTTAGTGGAGGTGATGACCACAGTTGAGGAAGCCACGGAACAGGCCAAAATGGAGGAATATCTCGATTCATAGAGCTAAACGAAGGCGAAGAGGGATGTGCTCAGGCCAAAAATCCGGCTTCAAGAAAAGGTAAGTAGCGAGAATGTGCATCTGGTGGCACAAGATGACTGCAGATATTAGTGATGGCTTCTGGTTTACTAGTTGGTAAATCCATTTCGAATGTTATCTTCACTTCCTGTTTCTCAGTTCAGAATGTCTTTTAGGGTGTTTTATTCTAGATACCGATTATGGTTAACACATCTCGAAAATTTCGTTCATTTTTTTTTTTTTTTTGTCTGTAAACTAATTTTATTAATACAGTTTCTTCAGATTCAGTGACATGTAGTTGAGGACTAAATTACAACTTTCGTTTTAAAGGTCACAGCAAAATCTTAAGAAATATCGTGATAAAGGGATTGCATTCCGATTTATCATAGAATATTTATCATCATACTCACAGCATCACAGTTAAATTGGATACTGTTGCACAAAAAATTAGCTTTCAATCTTATAACTTTTTTAATATGGACAATTCAGCAAGTAGTCTTTTAACAATTATTTGTTATTCAAATCTTTTAAATATGGTTTAAATTTGATAACATAAGATTGAAAACTGTGATTTATAAATAAAAATTCCGATTTCATATTGTAGTAGAATTCAGAATTTCAAATCAGAATAATTACCTGAATCAATCAATTTATTGTATTTATCATCGTTATCAAGCATCTTATTTTTCCCTTTTACCTTTTGACTTAATAAATCTTAACAACCTAGCTTCGATAACATGCATAAAGAATATTTAACTAAATAGAAGCATGAATACAGTTCTTCAAACGATGTGTATGGCACTTTACTGCCACTGTAATAAGCGATAAGGGTATCAAGCAGTGCGCGACACGTGAAACAGTAAGTTTTGATTCATGTCGTCGAGGCCAACCACTGTGACGATGGAAGGGGGCCCCAATGATAATGATCCCTGAACTCGACGGCCTCTTGTTTAATGAGTTGTCACCATTTGTTTGGTCACATGGATCTGCCACACTGAGACCACGAAGAGTTACTCACGGCAGTACAACTTTCGATGGGGAAAAATTATTCCCCTTCTCATTTAATATTTATGCTCACTCTTATTATTGCGCCACTTTACGAAGCGTGACCCGTGTCGGCAAGGAAAGTGGACATAGAATTTTTTCGGACAGCAGTAGGGAAATTTTTGCCACTTTTCGAAGATCTTTCTTGTGAGGGACCGTCTATAAAACCGACGTCAAGTATAACTACATTTTTTAAATACACGCACACACACACACACAAAAGAATCGATTACGTATTTTCTTATCTAAGAGTTAATTTAGTTTAACTTTTTGTCTTGCCGAAGGGAAGAAAGATAAGTATTGAAAATTTTATTACACAATAGAATGAAATAAAAAAAATGCTCTTTAATGAAACAAGGAAAAATTTATAAAAATTAGAACAACGTTAAAAATGGTTAAAAATTTCATTCATAGTAGATTTTTTTTTATTGTAAGCTCTTTATACCGAAGTTAACTAAGAATCTCTTAAATTTAATCTTTACGGAAATATTACAAAGAAAATTTCATTACTTTTATATAAATTGCATAAAAGATTATCGAAATATTATCATAAACTTGGTTAATTACAAGTCGTTATTTAATTTATTTGTAATATTGACAACAAAATATTAGCGGATTCTAATCAGAAGAACCCTGAATAACTTCGGAATCTAAATTTCCGTGATAAAATAAAAATAAAAAATCTAAAATTTTAGAGTTCCGTTTTATTGAAATCTGGACAAGTCAAATGGAAGGTACAAAATGTTTTATTTAAGTCATCTGAAATTTTCATTGAAATAGATCAGATGAATTTACATGTTGTATTATTATTATAAGGCTGTCTTCATGGCAGACAGCCTTCATTATTTATATGTAACAATCCGGTTTTGGAAGCTAAGAGAAAAAAATTCTTTTGTAGACCACTGATTATTATAAGATATATGCTACTAAAATCTGTGCGCATCTATTTGTTTGTTTGGGGTATTATCACCTTCGTAACGACGGGGAGTTGAGTTTTGAGAGAGGTATTCTCAGATTCTAAAAATTCGTGGCAAGACATTTCGACTATTTTCATCTTCGTACGATAATTAGCCGAAATACTAATTAAAACCTCTGCATACGCTAATTTTCGCCTTTATTTTTCCAAATGGCAACAGTCTCGCACGCTGGGCATAAAATTCTGCATTTTTTCGAAAAGTATTGCCAGTGCTCGCTTTCAAATCGTAGAGTTTGTTAATCAAAAATTGTAAGTTGTAATAATTGTAAGTTTTACAAAATCTGAAATAAAAATAGCATTGCGAAATATTAAACATATTATTATTACGTAAGATCATGTACGGTTGTTGCAGAAAGCATGCGATTGCATGTGACGTCATTGTATGTCGAAAATTTTCAATTAATGACATCATTTTAAATAAATTGCTGCTGTTGGCAACTTTTTTGTTTCAGGTTAGGATAACTGACATGATATGTTATTGCCACATTAATTCTTTTATTGATATTGAGGTGTTGGTGGTGTATTTAATTATGGCAAAGCACACTAGGGCTATCTGCCTAAGAGGAAGGATGCTTTTCGGGAGGACTTTCTAAGGGGAACCTGGCTCTTATTCACTTACACATGGGGAGCAACCACGAAAACACCCATCAATCCAGCCCGTTCGCGGGATTCGAACCTCGACCGAACTACAGTTTTCAGCGAACTTTACCGCTCGGCCGCTGGTGGGCCTATTGATATTGAGAAAAAGGTGTTATACTCCATTAAATTTAAATCATGACGTCATACATATGCTTATTAACCTGAAGTGTCAAAAGCTTCGTTTTGTAGTTTGGAAACAAAAAATTATTTACAAATTGGTTGTTGCTTGGAAAGACTGAACTGATTTCATTCGTACTGAAATGTTTTTATACATTTTCTTTTCAGTTGCAGATAGAACTTATGGATTTTCCTTTGGCCGCAGGCCACTGGCTTGCCCTCAAGTTACATGTAATTCCGGAAAGTGATTCTTTTATTTCAAAGGATTCGGAGATGTTATAAGATTTATTGTAGGCACTGAATATAAGACAAATTTACAAAGTGACAATATTTATATTTTTAATACAAAAAGAATAAATTAAAGTAAATCTTTAATTTATTCTTTTTAACGAACCCAATACAAACAGATGCTCATTTGTCAAATGCTCAATAACTGCATTTTTCAGTCAGTCTTTTAAACAAATAAGAAAATTTCTTAGACAGGGAATTTTAAATCTTGAATTCAGTTTCTGCTCATTTGCTGTTTAAAAGTTAGGACAAGCAGCCAAATAGCTAAAACATGGTGTAGCATTGTCCTGGGCTTTATAACGAAACCTGGAATAATTTAGCACTCAGAAATGTTTTTTATACATCAAAAATCAAAACTAGTATCACAGGCATTAAATTATTAAGTATAACAGACCGATAATTCTTAAGAGCTTTACCATATTTTACGATCAAAATAACATTAATATTTGAGAAAAATAACGTAACTCAGTGTAACATAAATTAATTACCTTAATATTATTTTATGATGAGCAAAAATCTAATCGAGGATTCTATTACTAGTTTTTGCATTGTGAACTAGCAGCCGAATATATTTAATTCATTAAAATAAGAGGCAGATTTATACATTTAGATGTTATTTTCAGGTAAAAAAGAATAAGATAGTTACTTTTGTGATAGTTAGTTGAATTATATAGCAGATAAATTATTTAAAATAGAGGACTACTTTGATGGAGTGATAGAAAATCTTAAAAGCATAGTTAGTTGCTGCAGAATTTATTTAATCATTTAAACATCCTACTGGAGAAATGTTTTAAGCAAATTTATCTCTCGAATTAGTTAAAGCACAGTATGTTTAGAATTATGTCTTCCTAAAAGAAAGTTACAATACAAATTCTTAGGAATAATTTTCTTCTCCTTCATATTAATTTAACTACGTTTTTAGCTTTGATTCAATTCTTGGATTACTTCAATCTTTCTCTCTCTTTTAAGACGAAAATTGAGCTGTAGAATAGAGTATATAACGCATTCTACTTAACATTGTTTAGTACTGTTGTTTTAAATCTACTAATTGAAACTAATGAGTGAGATTTCTCTGTTTGTATGTTCAATAACAATTTCTGTTATTTAGTTTATGGAAACCTCTTAGAATAAGTAATAACCTGTCAACTTAATTCATCGAGAATATAGAAAGCACTCGAGAATAAAATACATGAAAACCCTCACTACGATCACCTTCCTAAGACTTGTTTTGAACGTGACGCTGTCATTTCGTTTTGTTAGTATTTAAAATTTTTTCACATATTCATGTCCTTAAAATTAGAAATTAAAGTTAATGATCAAAACTGCAATAGTATATTACATGAAAAAAATTGACAGTTCAGAACCGCGTGTCGGATTTGCGCAATGCCTTGTTGGGGTGCCCACAAAATTTTCGTAAATCATTATGGAGGTCTTGGGGATCGCGAAAAAAATCTCAATGTTCCAAGGGTCACGCGACTGAAAAAATTTAAGAAACCCTATCGATGAAAAAACAAAAAAAAAAAAAAAAAAAAAAAAACTGAAAAGAATTTAATAGAAGTTAGGCGATGATTTTGTTACCAGCAGTCTTTCACTAAAATTGAATACTTTAATTAAATGCTATTTTTATTCAAAACAGATTGAACCACAACACTGAATTATGAGGGCCTTAGTTATATTTTCAATTTCCTAATTTCTAATTTTCTAAAGCTCTAATGATTAGCTTGGAACTAAAATGATTACATCTGTGAACCGCTAGCGTTATTTTTTTATAATAAAATTCGATATAATATGTTCCACTCTCAAGTTGCTTAACTTTATAATTATATGAAGGAAATATGAGAGAAATTACGTTATTATTTTAAAATCGTAACATCCAGAATACTGCATTTATGACAGCACAGACTTTAGAGATGAGAGAA